ACGTAACGTAAACGTAAACGGTAAAACGGAAACGGGAACGGGAAGGGAACGGGAACGGAAACGTAAAACGTAAACGTAAGTAACGTAAGTAGTAGTTGTTAGTAGTAGAGAGAGAGAGAGAGAGAGAGAGAGAGAGAGAGAGAGGGCATAACTGTCAATATAAAATGAAACCCCCATATTGTATGGAGGGGGGGTCTTTGGCACCAACTTGAAAAGGTGGGGGTGGGCAGTCCAGTCAAAAAGTGCATGGGGATATTTGACCTGATAGTTTTTTGGAGGGAGGGCCTGGTCATTTTCCCATAGAAGTAATGTGAGATGTACATGCACAACTAATCTAGATTCTAAGTTTTAACTAGATGCTATGAATGAAGAATTACTATACCACCTACTTCTATTAAGGCTTCTAAGTAAAAGAATTTGAGAAGTCGACAACACAACTAAATGAATTCTACACTCACAGATGTCACACATAACTAAAATCAAATATGGAATAAAATGTGCATCTTACCTTAATACTTCAGTGCATAAGATGTGATAAGATTAGTTGCAACATACCATTACAATCAAGGGAATTACTGAATGGAAAATTCCTATTCTTAGGAAGTAAAAACCAATGTTAGAAAAACCGGGCGATCTACCAGGTAACCGTCCGGTTAGATCAGAACTGGCCCCTGGCTAATTCCGGTTTCGGGCGGTTTTGGTCATCTGCCAGTATTTAAAAATAATTTTTTTCAAAAAAATGTCTATAAAATCCCAAAAATAAGAAATTTTGTAATACATTATTTAATTTATTGCCATTATAGTAAAGATTAAAATTTGTTTTTGTTATTAATACTCACTTTTATATTTTTCCATCTTTTTCAGAAAATTTTAAAAATACCCCTAGGCACAAATCGATTCTTTAAAATCCATTTTTTTATTAATTTTCAACTTCATTTGAATGTGTTTTGTTTTAATCATTCTTTATATGTTTTTCATATTTTCATAGATTTTTTTTGTATCTTTTTTATTTTTTTCAACAATTTTTTACCGCCCGAGACTTGCCTGATTAGAACGGTTGAATCGGCCGGTTTACCGGTTAGGCCGGTTAAACCACTTCCGGCCCCTAGTCCGATTAACCGTTCCGGTTCGGTTTTGGGAACACTGGTAAAAACATTTCAAACTGATCATCAACAATACAGCCTCTTAATGGAAAGAATTGATACATATTTCACACCTGAAGTTCCGAAGTATTACAAGGAGGATAAACTCTTCTGGTGCGATCAGGGATTTTCCAAAGCTTCTCGATATGAGATCTTGTCCATGATGAATTTACCATTGCTATATTTGCATATGAGCCCACCAATCCATACATCCAGCTAAAAATGGTGTAGTAGATCACCTTGCATCTAGAGAGCCATATGCTGCCAAAATAGTTTCTTGAGTTGTTGCATTACGTAACACAAATGGATACAACGAGAAAAACGATAGAGAAAGTTCTCTGCAGCAGACATTTTGTGGTTGATCATGAATGGTTGTATCTAGTTTGTGGGGCATGCTAGGCACTTTTTTTATAGTCTGTAAATTTGTTACTATAACTTTTTTTTTCTTTTGATTGGTAAAAAATTCCATTAAACAAATTAATTTACAAGTATGTGTTTTTCATCCCATTTACAATAACGAGTCTATATAGCACAGAAATTACGAAATTGAATGACTGGTCACAACCTCTTGAAGTATGGTCACAACCTCTTGAAAGTATGGTCACAACCAAGTCTTGCCTAACCACTCTCTTGCAAGAATCTGCCTCTACATTTGACTCTCTACACGTATGAAGAAAGTCCATCTGCAATTTTCTAGCATTCCCGAATCTCTTCAAAACAAGGTGAAGTTTCCAGAGGCAGGAATAGATTCCACTGGCCCATGCAACAACATTACTGGAATCACCTTCAGCAATAATTCCACTCCACCTCATGTCTATACTTCTGAGCACAGATAGCGGGTATAGCATCTCTTATCGAAAAACATTTAATGGAACATAATTTATCTGTAGTATATTTACTATAAAACAAAATAATATATAATTACCAAATTTATTATTAAACTATTCAGTATATCTTTATTAAATAACCATTTTTAATTCATTTGCTCTTTGAAAAATATTATTGTTTTTTTCTATTGGTAAAAGGTTCATTTTGGGATTATCCGTGTCATTTGTGCAGGAAAGAAATAAGCCTTTCATGCCCATTTAGGGATATCTCATTTTTCCTATCTTCATGTCTTGTTTAGAATTCCAAAAAAGATGGCTGAAAGTCTCTCATTTCACTACTTGACTTCACATTTTGATTTGATGAGCCATTGGCCGCTATTTTACGGTGATTGTATGGGAATGGTCATGCTCAAAAGAGGTTATCGCAATAAACAATTCATTAGCTGATAAAGTCAATATATAAACAAACAACTGCTCAAAGAACTTGCACATCACCATCAACATTCATGATGGCCACATTTTATTCTGCCACATAGTACATGGACCTTGGCATAATGCATCACAACACAAAAATATATCTATAATATGCGTGATGGAGCATGAGATGCAGATGTGCGATATATCACCCTATGGGATTTCATAATAGTAATAAATGAAGATGTACTGATTTAATATCACATGTGTTCACATGTATCTTTGTATATTAGATACCTAGGCCTAACGGTGAATAAATGTGCACGCACGCACTCACACATGCAAGCCCACCCAACATACACGCACTACAACCCCTCCCCTCCCGCCCCCAAAAAACCAAAAAGACACACACAGAGTGATATATATATTCTTTGAAATGGAGGGAGGGATGGTATCTTTAGAAAGTGTGCACATGTATATGCAGCTATATATGTCTATATATGCATAAGTGTAACGGCATCCAATATTCTACAGAAAAAGTTACGAACAATGTTCACACAAGAATCTTATGAGAAGCATGCCTGCCTGCAATTGATTTGTCATTGTTGTACATGAAACTGCGCTGACGAACACGAGAAACCATATCTGAACTGATTGTTGGGTAGTGTGTGTAGCATATAACTTTGCATCCAAATGCCCGTGCTAGTGGATAAGTGAACGCATAGCCACTTGTGTCAAAATAAAATAATGGCGTGAACTTATTTAGAGCCTCCCAGGACAAGTAAATCGAGCCAAGGCTTTGTCCAATCATAGTAAAATGGGGGTAAGTCCTTTCCTCAACCCACTTTCTTTTGTGTAAGGGAACCACCTGAGCATCACAATAACAAGAAAAAATATATTTCTAGTTAATAAATACCAAAGGAAATAATTTACACAATAAAACAATGTTAACCGACAAATTTGTGGCCAGAACACATCATAGTGCTCTGTTATTTACTGCATGATCCGATCTTTTCAACCTCTTCAGAAAGTAATTATGAACTAATTCCTACAAGTATTTCCATAAAAGAAAAGTTCTGAAGGTCGTCCTACTAGCAAGTGTAGTAAACTCTACCAATTTGATAAATAGATCGGTTGCATATGGATAGGGGAGAAAAAATAAGCCCTGAAATTACTGAATTGCTGGTAGTGATGACAAAAGGACCTTATCCCTACGATAAATGGAAAAACAAAGAGAGGAAAAGGAGGGGGGGGAGAATGGAGGAGAAGACTTCTTCCCATTAATTAAGAAACGGGACTGCTTGAGGGCCTTTAGAACATTTCAACGTAACAAAAGCCCCTCATGTAACCAGATTTGACAAATTTGCTTGGGTTAACAGATGAGCTCATGAGAAAGGGGTGGGAGAAAGAAAAATATTGCAACAAAAATTCCTTAAATCTCATCACCATGTGTTTGATTCAAACAATCTTTATTTCATAGGCGCAACTCAAACAAAAAATAATGCCAATCAATTAGGAACACAATAATTTCATGAGGGAACTGCCTTCCAAAAGAGAATTTCATTGAATCCTGTGCCTCCACACTAAATCATGAAAGCACTAGGAAATTCAATTCTCAGCTTTAGAAAAACAAAAGTATGACTCGCATAAAAGTGGTCCATTTCAATGTCAAAAATCCACGAGACCACTTTATCACATGATTCAATCCATCACATGATCGCGGCGACAACCCTAACCCTAATTTCCCTAAAACCAAACAAAACCAGAAAGCACATAAACATAAACCAGAAACAAAACAATTGCTCTTATTAAACTCACAACCAAGTAAAGGAGGCATCATAATTGAGGAAACAACTAAAAGGTCTAATTTTAAAATAAAAAAATAAAACCAACAGAGAAAGAAAGAACATCGCTCCTATCGATTATCAGACTCTGGGTACACAATAAGAAAAAATTGATAAAATTCTTAAGAATCACAATTTAATGACAAATAAAAGGCGTAAATGTTCAGTTGCCACACCTGAGGAGGTTGCAGAAGCTTCACACCAAAACGATCCAAGGCACGAGCCATCAAGCTCTGAGGAGAAGCTTCATCACCAGTGTATACAACACAGTCAAGATTAGGATTTAATTCCTGAACTGCCTTAACAGCACACCATAGCACTCTTTCTCCTCCTCCACCATCGTTAGTGTAAGGGTGGAAAAACCCAATAGCCCTTTTCCTGGAAATCCTTCCCTTCATTATAAGAAATGCGAAATAGCTCAAAACAATGGCGATAAAGCCAGTGATCAGAGACCCTAGTAAAAGACAGAACGGGATCGCCATTCAATTTTTTTCCCAGATTTTCAGATGCAATGAGAGAGAGAGAGAGAGAGAGAGGTGGTATAGAGGGAGGGCAGCAGAAAACTCCAGCCTAAACATGCACATTAAAAAGGTCAAAAAGGTTCATGTCCCTTCAGGGTTTTTGTGACATGGTGTGGAGTTGTGGGACCATTGAACTTCTATACCCGACCCAACGTGTTTATGTCTTTTGGGGCTTTTTGTGACATGGTGTGGCCCTTTGAGCTCCCCTACCCGAACCAATATGTCTACCGCCAAGGCGAAGCCTAATTGATCCTGGTGGGTCAAGTCTACCATATACGGTGCAACCTTAAACAATCCAATTAAGGGGGACCTGCAAAGTTTATCATTATATTTAATTTTAATGTAAAAATTTTTAGGATTATCTGAAAATCTATTTTTATCTCTACTTATAAAATTTTTAATTTCAAAAAGGTCAAAATCAAGTAGATATATAAATATATGAAAATCTTGAACATTGATGGTCTAGATAATGCGATGCATGATGTATTATTTCTAAACTCAAAATCATCTCGACATCGATAGGTATAAATATGAAAGTAAAAAAAGATTTCAAGTCCTAAAATAGTTCATCTTGTAACAAATTATCTGGACCGTCCATTTTCAAGATTTTTATAGGTTTATAGATATATTTGACTTTAATCATTTTTAGAGTTTAAAATTTTATAACTAGAGATGAAAATTGATTCTCAAACCATCTTAAGAATTTTTTTCATCAAAATTACATTTATGATAAAATTTAAACATGTGCCTTAATTGGATTGTTGAAGGTTGCAACCTTATGCTAGTGCGGGAGACATGTCCCTACCCATTTTTTTCAAATAATTTAACAAATTGTTTTTTTAAGGTATTAGTGGGGTGGTTTCAAAATAAATTTCCTATTTTTAGGTTTTTATAATTTTTTGAATTTTTTTTAAGATCTTGAAGTCGGACCACCCAACTCATCCAAGTTAGCTTGCTCCAATTTTTTGACACTGCTCTAGAGTAGGGCTGGCGAGCAGGCACAGCCTTGGCCCTAGTCCCTATAGGGCCGGCCCTAACCATGCCTAGGGGTGGCAACGGAACTCAGCTAGACTCGGACCTAGATCCAAATACTAATTGGGTCCAAAATTTGGATCCATACCCGGACCCATCAGATCCCAGGTCTATTTGTTGGACCCCAAGTTTGGTTGGATCCATTGGCACCCTATGACTATGAGTTTTTTTTTTTTTTTCTTGCCATATTTTTTACCATCATAAACCCTAAGACTATAAATTTCATTTTCTTTTTTAATAATATTGTAAATGCTTCCAATATTGTGACAATATCAACACCTAGCGTATGCCTAAAGACACATGATTGCCATCATAACCCTATGACTATAGTTTCGGTTCGAGTCCAGCTGGACCTAGACCCATACTCGAATAGTATTCGAATCCAAAATTTGGAACATTACCCGAACCAGGGTCTGATCGGGTCCATTGCCACCCCTAACCAGGCCTAAGGGGGCCATGACCCAGACCTGGCTCTTGGCCACATTTTTTGGCCCAAGTCTTAACATTTTTAGGGCTGTGCCAGTCCGGTCCGCTTGGCCCATTACCAGCCCTATCACTAGTCTACGGTCTACAGTGACTCCAAATTATAATTTTCAAGATTTTACATATCTACTGTATTGATAAATCACCTTTATTTTCCTCGTTAATCTAATAAATCCCAAGTAATCACAATTAGTAATTTTATTATGCTGCCAGGATTAAGGACCATTACTTCGAATCAAAAACTTTCAAGGGAAGTTTTAATCAAAGCACAACCTAGTGTTTCTGTTTTTAATGATTCATCCACTTCTTTTGTCATTCTTTCAAAAAATCCCTAAGTGTTATAAGGGCCAAAAAAATCATTAGAGGGGTGATATGTACCATCAAAGCTAAACCATCCATGTGAGGCATTGATATCTACGAATACCAAATGGTCCACGTAATTGGATTTTCTCCATTGAAAAATCGGGATCCATTTGAGAAGCCAAATCATACTCTACTCCTGTGGGAGTAGAATGTCCATTTACTCCTTTTGGTTAAACCCCATTTAGAACTAATTTTAGGACCCCAAGTTTTGGAGATGTAACATCAACTCATAGATTAAATTCAATAAATTTTTTTTCCTAATTGTGCTTTTTATGCACTTGAAAAACGTAATGTCTTGAAATTGAATAGAGAACATCCAATTTTTAGATGGTGACATCTAAATATTAGAAAATTCAAATTTCATTTTTTTTAGAATAATCATCAAGTAATTCTGAAATTAAAAATTTCAGATTAAAAAAAATCTCCCAAGTAGGTCTTCTGACCGAGGGAGTACAAGTAAACTATGCTCTCAAGGGAGCATCGTATAGGTGCCCATTTGAGAATTAGTAATATCCTTTTATAAGCCAAAAGATACTATATTCTTGCATGAGTATAATGTTCATTTATCCCCTCGAGTTAAATGCCAGAATTAATTTTAGGACCACAAATTTAGGGATGCAACTCTTCAACTTATAAATTAAGCTCAATATTTTTTTTCTTCAAATTTTACCCTCTATGCATTTGTAAAAAATAATGTATGAAGTTTGACTAGAGACCCTCAAATTTCGTTTTCTTTTTTTCTGTACAATCATCTGGTAATTCTTATTTTTAAGTAACGAAAATTTAGATAGAAAAAGACTCCCACGTAAGTCCTTTGACCAAGGGCAGTGAAGTCAACTATGCTCCTTAGGGAACATAACATACACGCTCTTTTATAAATATCTAGACTTTTTGCAGCATTGGTCATCCAAAATTTGGACCATCTGAAATGTATTTTGTAGATATCCATCCCCCCAATATTTTTCATATCATACCCTTAGCCAAGTACTACTTTTTCTTGTTTTAACCTACCCACCCACCCCACCCACCCATCCCCTAAAAAAATTGATATGTTAAAGACTAAACTACCTTTCAATCTTCCCTTATCCATTAACACACACACTATCTCTCCCTCCCTGCCCAAAATGAGAAAGTGTGGTCCAGAACAAATGTGTGCTAGATTGGTAGTAACGCTTCTAGAATTTTAAGCCAGAATCCAATCCAGCATAAAAAATATGTCGGAGTGGTTTCAGGTTTTGAATTCTAGAAACCTCACTACTGGGCACACTTCTGTGTTGGAACGCATTTTTTTAGTATTTTTGCCATGGTTTGGCAAGAAATGTGCCATACCAGATGAACATGGTAAAAAATGTGGGGTCTGTAGCTTTTGATAACGGGTCCGACACATGTTTCTACCATACCAAATTTTTTGCCATGTTCTACCTAGCGGGAACTTGTTTTGTTGTGCTTTTGCCTGACCGTCTTTTTGGGCAAATTCTACAGGTCCGGCAATTTTTGTGTCGGATTGATTCCCATTTTTGCTTTGAGCGGCACTAATTGGGTTTCATGTACTAAAAAGGGTAGTTTCTTCATAAAAATTACAACTGTTTTTGACTTGGGGATAAAAATAAGGAAAAACTAATTAGGTTAAAAATAAGTTATTCCAAAATTTTAAATTTATTCTTTGTGGGGTATTTTTTCTTAGAATTTAGAATAATGAGTTTTAAAAAGTTGTTTAAAATTTAGGATGGGTTATATTTGGGAAGGTCTCTTTCTAAGAAGGTTATCATGTTTTATAAGGAAGAGTTAGTTTTTGTTTTTTTAGGTACGTTGGATAAGAACTTATCTTTGTATTGAGTTAGAAAGAATCTTTTGAAAAATGTGTAGTTAGAAAGTTTATCTTTTTGAGGAAACAATGGAGGTTTAGAAGGAGAGAATAAAACCCTATGGAACAGATAGAGAGAGACCTAAGAAATTAAAACACAATAGGTTTTGAAGTGAAATGAAATCGTATAAAAGTTAGGTGGTTTTTCAAGATCTAATTTTCACATAATTTTAATATCCTAGCTATTGAGCTAACCAAACGGCTGACTTTAGTAATATCCAATATATTAAAAAGTCCATATCCCCAAATCCATTTGCCCAAACAAGACCTTAACATTTGAACTATTTAATAACTTATAAATAGTTTTTGATCTTGTTTCAAATATTCCATTATTTTTTTTATCAAATTTCAATTGGTCCATCAAATAACACATCAAAGTAAAATGCACATTTCAATTTTTAGGCTTATTTTAATGAATTTCTTCTTTTTATCCTGCAACATGATTTTTCCCTTTTTAGGTGCGGTTTGTATAGAGCCTAGGCTCTAAATAATCAAATTAGTGCCTAACCTCAAATAGTGTCAAGAAATGCGGTTTCAATACTGGAAATCTTTGTGATAGCCTTAAAATATATTTTCATCTTTGTTTATAAAGTTTAAAGCTTAAAAAATAGTGTAGATCGACAGATCTATAAAAACTTGAAAATCTTGAAAATTGACGGTCCAAAAATGCGTTACAAAAATATACTATTTTCAAAACTTGAAAGCTATTTTTTTCTCATGTCTACGCATCTTGATGTCGAGATGATCAATTTGAGGATATTTGAGCATCAAAACAACCTCTTATAGTGAAATTTGTGAGGTGGGTTTTTATTTGATTGTTTAGAGCCTCGGCTCTATATAAACATTTCCCTTTTTTCCACTGAATTCCAGAAGCCGTATTAATGTTACTGCCCTTTCTGTATAGGCATATTGTTCCTTAACTTCCATTGCCAAAATTTCAGTAGTAAAAATGCTACTAGCGACTGGGATTTATATAAAAGAGCAAGCGAGCATTTAGCTCTCGAGTACGCATCTAATAATTTGAAAGCTACTGATTCCGATGGAGTGGAAAAAAGTGGAAAAGGCCTCTTCAGTCATTCTAAATAGCCATGACTCTGCTCTAATGGTTTCTTAAAATTAAAAAGAAAGTTAGTGAAATATTAAAAAATTACAAGACGCGAATCTTAAACGGTAAGCCGCACATTCGAAAAGGGGTGGGGTTGTGGAGTCCCATTAACACCTTTAAAAAAAAACAAATTGAAAAATGTGTAAGGGTTTGTGATGAATCACCCAAAAAAGTAAGGAGTACCTCCGATCTATTTTTGAAATTTAAAGCTCTAAAACTAGTGTAGATCTAGAAGATCTAAAAAAATAGTTGGAATTTTTAAAATTCTATATAAACTTTTACAAGATGCACTATTTCTTGGATTGGAATTTTAATTTTGATTTTCATTGAGGTGGTGATGACCAATTAGAGAGTTTTCAAGCGCAAGAATAACTTTTTTTAATAAATCTTTGATGTGCGTCTTACTACTATTGAAGGTTGACATCTTTTATGAACTTTTTCCAATGCATTTTTTTTCAAATGAGATGATCATTAGAAAGGTCAAATTGTTAATTTAGTCTCAAATTCCTGATCCAGATTGGGGGACCAACCCATTCATATTCAAACTCAAGAATCGATGTACGATTCCTCTTAAGACCAGCTCGTAGACTAGTTCCATCAAAGAACCGATCAAATCTGTCAAGAAACTAGGCAATCTAGATCGACAAATCCGGATTGTTGATTTATTGAATCCAGAATGGAGTTATGAAAGGCCGGTTCACCTGGTCGATGTGATTTATGAAACACTCGTTGTACACGTAAGAAAATCATTCGTCTTCGAAACATTTAATGCCAAAAATTTCCAGGTTGTTTTTCCAAGATAAGAGAAATCTCGAATATTCATTATCATCCGGCGCCAATTAAGGGACCAAATTCATAATAAACGGTACCTGAGAGAATTATATAATCTTAAAAAATTGTTAGGAAAGAAAAAGCAGGGGAAAAGTTTTTATAGAGCCGAGGCTCTAAACAATCAAAGTAGAGCTTACCTCAAAAATTTCATTAGAATAAGTTGTTTTGATCCCAAGTATCCTCAAATCGATCATCTCGACATCAATATTCATGGACATGACAAAAGAAATGGATTTCAAGTTTTGAAAACAATGTATTTTGTCACTCATTTTTGGAACACCTCAATTTTCAACATTTTCAAGTTTTCATAGGTATGTCCATCTACACTATTTCTTAAGCTTTAAACTTTATGAATAAAAATAAAATTATATTTGACAGCTATCACAATGATTTCAAGTATTGAAGCTGTATTTCTCGATACTATTTGAAGGTAGGTTCTAATTTGATTGTTTAGAACCGACGCTCTATACAAATCCCACCATTGTTATATTGGATATTTCATTTTAAAATACTCTTTTTTTTATAGGGAAATGTTTATATAGAGGCGAAGCTCTAAACAATCAAATTCGAGCCTACCTCAAATTTTTCACTAGAAGAGGTTGTTTTGATACTCAAATATCCTCAAATTGATCATCTCAACATCAAGATGAACATCAAGCTGCATGGACATGAGAAAAAATTAGATTTCAAGTTTTGAAAATAGTGTATTTTATAATGCATTTTTGGACGGTCAATTTTAAAGATCTTCACGTTTTTATATATCTCTCGATCTACATTATTTTTTAAGCTTTAAATTTTATAAATAAAGATGAAAATATATTTTAAAGCTATCAAAAAGATTTCTAGAGTTGAATCCATATTTCTCAACACTATTTGAATGTAGGATCTAATTTAATTGTTAGTGCCTAGGCATTTAATTGGTAGTGCCTAGGCGCTACACAAACCGCACCCTTTTTTATATGCACATGCCAACTAATAAAATGAAAAAGTACACAGGGAAATGGTATATCTTCATTTTAGCATGATATTCCTGAAATATTTCTTAACATTAAATCTTTTTCATTTCAGATCATGATCCTGACCGTCCAGTCAAACTGACCCTACTGCATAACTGTCCGTGACCGGTCTGTCCTCCCAATCGACAGTCCCACTGTTTCCATAACGACCTTTAAATCTGGGCCGTCCATTCACATCAAAACAAATAAAAGAAAAAGAACCAGAACATTCTGACGCGACATCCATGTGAAAGACACGTGCGATCCCATTTAAAATTCATAAAAAAAGAACAAAAATAGTAAAATACGAAAGGAGAGGCAACCACAATTTTCTCAACGAAACAGGGCCATTTCCGTAATTTCTTCCTCACTGTTAGGGTTTGAGGAGGAAGAAAAAAAACCACAAAGTAAACCCCAAATTTCCAATCCAAATATAAAAGATAAAAAAGAAAAACAGAACCACAAAAAATATAAAAAGAAAAGCCCAAAAAAACTAATGTCTCAGATCTAACCGATCATCAGATCCAAATTCCGGTGAAGATTCCGGCCAAAATTCCGGGCACAGTTGAAGCAAATTGCCGTAATATTGATTGAGCTCCTGATGTGTGATTATTATAATGGGAAGGAGGAGGGGAAGTTGGAAGCTCTGCAACGAACACAGTGACCTTCATTCCACCAAAGCAGAGGCCATTGCCACAGATGAAGTAATATCTCTTTGATTCATTGAGCTCGATGAAGTCTTTTCCACTACTCCAGTTCCCAAGCGCGCCCTCCAATGTGCAGTTATCGTAGCCAGTTTTGTTCACCATGTACACATTGTACTGGTTCCTTTGGTACCTGAAAGCTGAAGTAGAGAGAGAAAGCAGAGAAAAATGGTGAAGGATTAGAGTTAAAGATGTGTGTGAGAGAGAAGGAGATTGCAGAGGAAAGGGAGGAAAATGTGAAGAACTAGAAGAAATGAGAGGGAGAAAGAAATCACCGAAAAGAATGGAGAATAATGAAGAAGAAAAGGAGGTAGGAGAAAGAGAATGCATAGAAAAATGGCAGAAAATTAATTGGAGAGAAAGAGAGAGAGAGATTTAGGAATTTAGCCACTAGTTAGAAGGGCTCAGAAGAGTTGATCAAGAGCTGAACAGAGAGAGATCTGGTTTTGTAAGCTTTGTCTGCAGTAAAAAGCACAATGAAAAAACAGAGAAGACCAGGTGAAAAGAGACTAGTAGAGAGAAATTGGGCTCAAGCTGCTTTCTATAATCCAAATGCAGGTAAAAATTACTAAAACAAAGATAGTGAAATGATGAACATCAGAGAGCGCTTAAGCTTTAGGAGCTTACTGAAACTGCAATGCAGGCAAAAATCGCCAACAAAACAGAGAATGCAAGTATATGAGTGACGAAGCTCCACGCGTATGTAGCAGATGTCAAAAAAAGTAGCAAATAAAAAGAGAAAATCGGAGAAAAATTGAGCAAGATGCCATACTCTCAATTTCTCATCACATCTTTCCAACGCTACAATGCTTTTCAAAATCCAAAAGAAAACAGAGAAATAAAGCCAAAAAAAGAGAAAAAGGAAGGGGATTAGGTTAGGGTTTTACAGATGAGGTCGCCGACAAAGAAGGTATGGTTTCCGGCCCATAGAGTATAGTTGATCCCTGGATTCCACCCATGGTTATCACCGACAATGTGATCAGTGGCATTGGCCGGAAGAGCGACCGCAAAAATCACAATAGCGACAAAAAGTCGACGGAAAATAAGAGCCGGTTCCATTAAGGTGGCCTGAATTATTCTCTAGACTCGCCTATCTGTTTCTCAATAAAGTCCCTCTCTCTTCTCTCTCTAAGACCCTGATTTCGTCGAGGTAAGGAGTGAGAATGGGTAGAGAGAGAAAGAGGAGAGCTGGTATTAAATGGGGAGAATGGTTTTAGGCGATGGTTTAAAAAGCGGATCTGTGATCCGGATTGGATACTTTAACAACAGATTCGAATCGGTGAATCAACGATTCGGATCGAGAATCGTATGAATCGGTCGGATTAAAGTTTCAAAAAAATCTGAAAAAATTATTAAAATTCACTATAAATGTTATTTTTTAGAAATCTAATAATAAATGAGGGTACTACATTATTAACTTTCATTTTTTTCATCAATTTGTGAATATTGAGATGCACTTTCTCAATATGAACTTATGTTGACCATTAAATTTACATCACACAAAAGAAATCATAGAATTATCATGGATTAATTATATAATCATATATGGACTACAATAGAGAGTTGACTAAATCGATGAAAATTTGGCCACTAAAATCTCGAATTGGCGGAAAACCCTAATCCGCTAAAAAAAACCAAATTATTGCAACCTAAGTAACTATAATATTATATACCAACAATATTTTATAATTATTTTATTATATAAATTATAACAAATCCAAAATATTTTATAATATCATTTAATTTAAAATGTATTATTGACAACTGTAAGAAAAGTAGTACATGATTTATAATACAAAAATTATTGACATGATTTATAATACAAAAATTAATAAATAAAATAAAAGATTTGGTTATCAATGTAAAAATTATTAGAATGCGTACCAATTTTCTTTAATTTCTTAGGTTTCTAGAATAAATTAGTGGAAGAGATTGTTAGTATAAAGAGAGAGATTTTAAATGGCCTCATTGTATGAATCCTATCTTTAAATTAATAATACTAAATTTCTGTTAAAGACCATCTTGTTATAAAAATAAAAAATATAATTAAACCATTTATTCTTAGGTTGTATGAAGAAATACCTTTTTATTTTTTTGACAAGAAACACTTATTGCGTTATCTTTTATTTTTTTTTACAAGAAAAATATGATACTTGTTGATTATCTTTGTTTTTGTTTTTGACAAAAGAAGAAGACGTTGTACTACATTTTTTTTTGCTTGTTGTATTACTTTTTATTTTTTTTACAAGAAAAATAAAAAAATGATGGTGCTAAATTACATTTTATTTTTTTATGCCTTTTGTTTTATTTTTTTTGCAAGAAATACTTGTTATATTACTTTGTATTTTTTTTGCAAGAAAAATAAAAAAAATTTGTATTATCTTTATCTTGAAAAGCTTTTTATTTTATATTTTTTTTATTTTTTTACAACAATATTTTTTGCTTTTGTTTATGTTTTTGACAATAAATTGTATTTTTATTACAAGAAAAATAAAAGAATGTTGTATTATCTTTTTTATCTTTATCTTGAAAAGCCTTTTATTTTATATTTTTTCTATTTTTTTACAACAGTATTTTTTGCCGTTGTTTATTTTTTTTACAACAAATTTTTTTTTGTATTTTTTGGTTGTGCGCTAAGGGGTTTGAACTCAAAAAAAATAAAATTTGTAGTGCGCTAAAGGGGTTTGAACTCAAAATATCTTTTGGTATTTGTTGGTGTTCGTTATGGGATTCGAACTCAAGATACACACCCAAAATTCGGTGTTATCAACCAAGATGGCCACATTGTCACATGTGATTTTTTAGCTTCCATAATAATATATATTCAATGATATTACTTTAATGACTTTTTGTAGGAATTATCCCATATCGAAAGATGAGTGTTGCTTGATTCTCTATCAAGTCATGTGTATTAGACTTTCTATTGCGCCAGTAGAAATGTGAGGGAGGCAAACGTGATATGAGTTACCATGTGTGGCCATGTGTCACTCATGTGAGGTTGCCACGTGTAAATCCAAAAAAATGCCGGTTTTTTCTGTGAGACTCGCGATTCACTATTCGGAATCGCCCGGTTCTCCTTGGACACGGTCGATTCCCGACCATGTGTCGCCCGGTTTTCTCTGGACACGGTCGATTCTCGACCATGTGTCACTCATGTGAGGTTGCTACGTGTAAATCCAAAAAATACCGGTTTTTCTGTGAGACTCGCGATTCACTATTCGGAATCGGCTGGTTCTCTATCGACACGGTCGATTCCCAGTTTTTTCGTGGAACCGGCTCGATAGTAGGCGATTATTGTCGTGAAACTGGCTCGGTAGCAGGTGATTCTCAAGTCGAATCACCCGATTCTCTCTTAACGTGAGCAATTCCCAATTTTTTTTGTGAAATCTGGCTCGACTCGACGAGTTTTAAAACACTCGTATTAGGAGTAAGAAGCGGGTCTAAATAGGGGGGAGTGGGAGAGTGTGGGACTCTCTTTTACGGATTGTTTTTAATTTTGGGTGATAGGAAAATAACCCATTCTAGCTTACTAATGACATATAGACCCAACCTTTTTTCTTTCTTCATTTGGCCATGAGTATATATGCTAGTATACTATGCTCCCGCGGGAGCAAAGTGTATTTCTACTCTTCCGGTAAAACAAAAACCTTTTTGGAAAAAAATTACTGCAATCTGAAATTTTAGGAACCGCAGTACATAAAAAAAATTTCTAACACCTAGATCTTAAAAAAAAAAACCTTGCCATTCTCAATACTTACACGAAAAAGTTTTTAAGGGTGAGGCCCTAGCAACCCAATTAAAGTGCACATCCAAACATGAAGAGGTTGTTTTGATGCTCAAGGATCCTAAAAATCGATCATCTAGACCTAAAGATGTATCAACATGAGAAAAAATGAATTTTTAAGTTTTGAAAATGTACCTTGTAATGCATTTTTTGGTCTATCAATTTTTAATATTTTCAATTATTCATATGTAGTTCAATCTACACTGTTTTAAAAGTTTTAAAGTATGTAGATAGAAATAACAATAAATATTCAGACCATCACACAGATTTCCAGTAATGAATAGCTAGAGAGAGAAGGATTTCCTTGTTAAGAATGCCCATCTAGAGAAAGAGATGGCTTTCCGTTTTGAGTGCATCCTTCTAGAGAGAGAGAGAGGGAGCACGGGGATTTTTGGATTTTCCTTTTTTTATTATAAATTGACCTTATAATTTGCATGCACAATATCGTTCAATTTGTCTTTTGGGCTCGTAAGTATATCCATTGATCAATCTTAGTAATAATCTCATTAATAAATGGGAAAGCTTTCTATATCCTTATGCAACATAGAAGTTCTATGTTCCCCTACCAACCACTCATTCATTTTCTAGAGAGCCCCTCACTGTTTGATCTTAGATCTGATGTCTCACATTAATGTATTTTTAGTTTTTTTAATACAATTTTTTTGAATATGAAATTTGGTACGTGCTATCTTTTCATTGAGGCACACCTATAAAAAATATTAACAATAATTTTTTGATAAAAATCATGACCAAAATACTATTTGAAACTTTCAGAGGTATTTTGGTTATTTTATTTGATTGAAAATATTTTTTTATATTGTTCGTTAGTGCAAGTTTAATATGGGAATAGACATCCAAAATTTAGTGTCAAAATAGTTATAGAAAAAATTTAAGAATAAAACAGTGTAGAGACGTGACATTGTGATTGGAGCAATCTTAGCCTTCCATTAAAAAATGGACAGTTGGATAAAGGGAACATAGAATGTAGGGAGAATATAGAAAGCTTTCCCTTAATAAATAATTCCTCTTTAGATATGTCTTGCTATTTATTTACATGCAAAGCGGTTACTACTTATAGGGAATGCCAACTAACCTAACTATAAAAGTAAGGAAAAAGTTTATATAAGGTTGCAACCTTAAAATGTAGTATTAGACATCCACCTTAAAACCCATCGGAAAATGTTGTTTTAATGTTGAAAAAATCTCTACTTGATCATCTTGACATCGAGATGTATGATGAGTATGAAATTTTTTTTTGAGTCCCATAAATAGTATATCTTGCAATACATTATCTAGACCGTCCATTTCCTAGATTTTCATATATTCATAGATCTACTTGACTTTAACTCTTTTTAGAGTTTAAAATTTCGTAATTGAATATGAAAATAGATTTTTAGATAATTCTAAGAACTATTTATACCAAAATTACATTTTATGATAAGATTTGGTGGTGCGCTTTAATTGGATTGTTTAAAGTTCCAACCTTATAGAAACTACACCCTCAAAGTAAATATATTGTGAGCTAATCACAGAGAGAAGTTGGGTTTGTTTAGGTTTGATTTGATAGTTATATAAAAATGAGGCCAAGTTTGAAGTTTCAATCTCATACCTACTTTTTAAGGGAAATTTGTTGGTGTGTCCAAACCCACATCTATTACTATGCGGACTTGGAGCATATGTTACTATGCCGACTTGGAGATCTATCCACCAAAACTGGCCCGTAAATAATAGTGCCCCAAAGAAAAAGTAAAATCAATTGTTCCATTATTTTATACAAAAATTATTAATTTTAATTTTTAAAATTTATTTATTTTTAGAGTTTAATAATCTACATGTCAAAGATTATATATTAAGATCAAATTTTATTTCAAAATAAATTATTAAAGGTCCCGGCTACGTCTGAATCCGTAGATAGGTGTTTCCCTAGAGAGACAAGTTTTCTTAGAGAGAGGAAGGAAGGTAGATAGGACTGTCAATCTAGCCGGGTCGACCTTCAAATCCGATGGGTTAATCCAATTGGGGTTAGGGTTTAGGTCCACCTTTTGAACCGGTGGGTTGGGTCTCTGTCAAGAAGTATGGACTTGAGAGTTGAGTCCGTTGGGGCCCTAACTTATTATATTTTTTATATTTTAATCCTGAGTCTATGCGATTCGGTGGGTTGAGTTCAGATCTGATCAACTTGAACCTGAATGGATCTAGCAGACTTGATAAATCGGGTCCGAGTTTGACCTGACCCGCACCGTTTACATTACTGGAGGGAGATAAACTTTGGACAGTGAACATAAGAGAATGGGGCGTGATGGGTGTGCGTCAGTGTTTGTAAGAGAGATGAGTAAGAACTTTGGCTCAGTGAAACATGAGAGAGAACGTTGCGATCACATATCATTACGCACATAGGGGGGGGG